CACACACACAAACACACATAGACGGGAGGTCACCCTCAGGAGATGAGCCCGGTGAGGGGCAGCTGGAGGTAGTGGCGCAGGGGGGGTGGCAGGGGCAGCTTGGGGACGGCGAGGTGACAGCGGGGGCCGAGGTGGCGGCGGAGGGCGCAGCGTGCCAGGTGCTGCAGGCGGCGGGGGGAGCCCGCCATGCGCTGCGCCGAGGCGTAGAACTCCCGGTGCTCCTGGGGAAAAGAGGAGGAAAGGGGGGGGACAATGGGGACACAGAGGGGTGAGCGGGGTGGGGGGGTGGCAGTGGGGACACACACACACTCCCCCCAACCCCTCCGTTTTACCTCCCACAGCTCCGGGGGCACGGATCCCACCCAGCTCTCGGCGGGGGGGACGCGGTCGTAGGCGTTGAGCACCATCTCCAGCGCTGGTGGGTGGCGGCAGCAGAACTTGAGCATCTGGGACAGAAGGGGGGGTGTCACCCAGGGAGAAGGAGGGGGGACACCCCGTCACCATGTCACCATCACTCCCCCACCCACCCCCCCTGCCTCGATCGGCATTTAATTTAACAATTTAGGGTGCTGCACCCCTGGGGAGGAATAACCCCCTGCACCAGGACAGGTTGGGGGTGACCTGCTGGAGAGCGGCTCTGAGGAGAAAGACCTGGGAGTCCTGGTGGACAATAGGATGGCCATGAGCCAGAAATGGGCCTTGGTGGCCAAGAAGGCCAATGGCATCCTGGGGGGCATCAGGAAGAGTGTGAGCAGCAGGTGGAGGGAGGTCATCCTGCCCCTCTGCTCTGCCCTGGGGAGGCCCCATCTGGAGCACTGGGACCAGTTCTGGGCTCCCCAGTTCCAGAAGGACAGGGAACTGCTGGAGAGGGGACAGCAGAGGCTACAGAGATGATGAGGGGCCTGGAGCATCTCTCCTACGAGGAGAGGCTGAGGGACTTGGGGCTTTTTAGTCTGGAGAAGAGAAGGCTGAGGGGGGATCTGATCAACACCTATAGATACTTCAAGGGTGGGTGTCAGGAGGATGGGGCTGGTCTTTTTTCAGTGGTGCCCAGTGGCAGGACAACTGGGAATGGGCACAAACTTGAATATAAGAAGTTCCACCTAAACATGAGGAGGAACTTCTTCACTTTGAGGGTGGCAGAGCCCTGGCAGAGGCTGCCCAGGGAGGTGGTGGAGTCTCCTTCTCCGGAGACATTCAAACCCCACTTGGACACATTCCTGCTGTGGGTGGACCTGCTCTGGCAGGAGGTTGGAGGAGATGTTCTCCAGAGGTCCCTTCCAACCCCGTATCGTTCTGTGACTTGATGACTCTATGCTCACTCACCTTGGGGTGGACAGGGCGGGCGCCGTGATGGAGGAGGAGGGCGATGGTTTCCTCGGGGTGCTGGTGGCAGTACTCCTCGACGGCGTGGAGGGCGCAGTCCATGGGGGTGTACCCGGCGCAGTTGGGGAGGGTGGCGTCGGCCCCGTGCCGCAGCAGCAGCCGCGCCAGCCGGGCCTGCCCGTTGCCGCAGGCGTTGTGGAGGGGCGTGTGGTCCTTACGGCCGGCGGCCCCTGCCTCGGCCCCGGCGGCCAAGAGGAGTTGGGCCACCCGGTAGTAACGTTGGGCCTCCTCGGGGCGCTCGGCGGCGGCGCAGGCGGCGTTGAGGGGGGTCTCGCCCTGGCGGGAGCGGCGGGAGGGGTCGGCGCCGTGGCGCAGGTACAGCTCCACGTGTGCCGCCAGGCCCTGCCGCGACGCCACGTGCAGGGCCGTCAGCTGCCGG